AAGATAATGTAAACTTAATTCTCGTACAAAATAGTAGGAAATCAAATTCAAATATCAATCCTGATAGGCCTTCTAATAAAGAAATAAATAATACTAAAATGACTTCATACAATAACAGTCCATCCCAGCAAAAAACTAACGAAATTGTCAGCAATCAATATCTCATACCGCACCATGTCCGACAGAACACATTTAATCAGGGACGACCTTCTTTACCACCCTCTTTACCATCGCCAAATCCACAAATATTTAAAGAATTTCAACAGAAACTCGTACAAGCTCAACAAAGTGATGCCCATAGAAAGTCAAGTCAAGGTTATTCGATACCAAATTTAACTCAACCTCAAAAGCGCCAACGTGAAAGTACAAGTGGCCATCAAAAGATGGAAATTGATGATTACCATCATATAGAAATGCCGATTGATCAATACTATAATCAAAGTTGCGAATATCAAAATAATAGTGACGAACCTTATTGCGAAACCGACCATCAGAATCTTAATCATCCATACCAACAACCAGATGAAGATAATGCCGAAAATTTTCGTTTATCAGCCTCCCAACACACCAATATATTGCCTTAAAATTTAATAATAAACTCTGTCGTTGTCTAATTGATACAGGTAGTTCAATTAATATTATGAGCCAAAATTTCTTTAACCTACCCATAACATCAAAGCCTACAGTAGTTCGTGCATTGCAAGGAGTGGTGAATTTGAACAAAATAATTACTGTTCAACCTAATGAACTTTTCCCAGTAGAACAACATTTTTACATATTTCCATTTTCACACTATTATGACATATTATTAGGACGCAATTTTCTAAAGGCAACTAATTCAATTATCGATTATTCCAGAGATCAAATTATAATAAACAATAAAACATTTTCTCACAAACTTTATTTTCCTGACAACAATAAAGATTTCACAACTACTCCAGAGCTTACTTACGCAATTGAAAATCCAATAGACGAGCAACCTCAATACCGACTCGATCACCTCAATAAAGAAGAACGGGCAAATTTGCTGAAGCTTTTAAAACAATTTATTGACATTCAGTATCGCGAAGGCCAAATATTAAGCTTTACTAATCAAACCAAACATAGAATTGAAACCATTCACAATAATCCCGTTTACAAAAAACCCTACAGTTATCCGTTCGCCGCCGAGCAAGAAATAGACGCTCAAGTTGAGGAAATGCTTCAGCAAGGGATTATCAGGGAAAGTAATTCATCATATTGCAGCCCCTTATGGGTTGTGCCCAAAAAATTAGACGCTTCAGGGAATCAAAAATATCGAGTTGTCGTCGATTATCGAGGATTGAACGAAATCACTATAAGCGATAAATTCCCCATCCCAAATATTGACGAAATTCTTAGTAAGTTAGGCAGGTGTCAGTATTTTACGACAATCGATCTTGCAAAAGGCTTCCACCAGATAGAAATGGATCCAGATTCCATCACCAAAACTGCATTTTCAACCAAAAATGGACATTATGAATATACACGAATGCCATTTGGGTTGAAAAACGCACCAGCAACTTTTCAGCGTTGCATGAATAATGTTTTGAAAGAGGTAATAAATAAATGTTGTTTAGTATATCTCGATGATGTCATTGTATTCTCGACATCATTAACTGAACACTTGGACTCGTTGAGAAAGGTGTTTAGCAAATTAAGAGAAGCCAACCTAAAGTTGCAGCTTGATAAGTGCGAATTCCTTAAAAGGGAAACAAAGTTTTTAGGTCATATTATAGGCCCATATGGCATCAAGCCCAATGAAGATAAAATAAAATCAATTAAATATTTTCCTCTTCCCAAGAGTCCAAAAGAAATAAAATCATTTCTTGGATTATGCGGCTACTATAGGAAATTTATCCCAAATTTCGCACAAATTGCCAAACCTATTACCCATTGTCTTAAAAAAGGAAATAAAATTGATTTAAGAAACGAAGCTTATCTCCAGGCCTTTGAAAAATTAAAAATTCTAATTTCAAGTGACCCAATACTTGTTTGCCCTGATTTCAAAAAATTGTTTCAAATCACAACTGACGCTAGTAGTGTAGCAATAGGTGCTGTTTTGTCACAAGAAGGTAAAGCTATTTGTTTCGCTAGTCGAACACTAAACGATCACGAACAAAACTATAGCACCATTGAGAGGGAATTATTGGCCATTGTTTGGGCAACAAAATACTTTCGGCCCTATTTATTTGGTAGGACTTTCGAGGTATTAAGTGATCATAAGCCATTGGTTTGGCTTCACTCAATACAAGATCCCAACATGAAACTCCAAAGGTGGAAAATTCGCCTATCAGAATACGATTTTACAATAAAATACATCCAAGGAAAAACCAATTATGTAGCCGATGCGCTTTCACGTATTCAATCACAACACGAAGAAGTAATGTTAGGAAGTACTTGTGCAACTGTACATAGTGCGGAAGAGGATAGTTCATTCTTAATCCCTTTAACGGAAAAGCCTCTAAATCACTACTCTCGACAAGTAATCATGGTTAAAACAGATAATATTTCAGTTAAAGTAGAACAATATTTCAAAAAACAAAAAATTATAATAAATTATAAAGAGATAACTTTCGAATCTGCAAAGCAGTTATTAATAGACCACCTTTTTGCTAAATCCAGTGCACTCTATATTGAAAGCGATCCCGACTTTCTCATCATCCAAAAAGCTTACAAGGAGATAGTCCATGACCAAAAAACTTCCATTGTAAGAGCATTATTATATTTGAAAGATATAGAAAGTTACGCTGAATTTAAAGAATTAATATTAAAACAGCATATTAAGCTTATCCACCCTGGCATAGAAAAAATGTTAAGACTTTTCAAAGAAAGTTATTATTTCCCAGATTCTGGTAAATTGATACAAAACATTATTAATCAATGCGACGTTTGCCAATTGTCGAAAACAGAACACAGAAATACAAACGCCCCATTTGAATTAACACCAGAAGTATTCAACCCTCGCGAAATATTTATGATAGACTTTTATATTTCAGAGAATAAAACTTATCTAACATGTATCGACATTTATTCAAAATTTGTCATGTTAGTACAAGTGAAAAGCCGTGACTGGCTGGAAGCCAAACGTGCACTATTATAAGTATTTACTCAAATGGGCAAGCCGATAACACTCAAAGCAGACAGAGACTCAGCTTTCACAAGTAACGCAATTAAACAATGGTTGACTTCGGAGGAGGTTAAATTAGAATTAGCATCAACAAAGACAGGGGTTGCGGACATTGAACGATTTCACAAAACCTTAAACGAGCGTATTAGAATAATAAATACTGATACTTACGTTGAAGAAAAGCAGATGAAAATCGAAACTATCCTATTCATTTATAATCATAAAATTAAACACAATAGCACAGGTAGAACACCAGCCCATTTGTTTATTTTTGCAGGTACCCCTGCATATAGTAATCAAATCTTAAAAACACAAAAAATTAATAAAGTCAACGAAAATAGAAAATCTTTTGAAGTCAATACAAAATATAAAAAAGCACCAATATTGAAAGGCAAACTTCAAAACCCATTCAAGAAAACTGCCAAAATTAAGGCTGTTGACGAGAAACACTTTAGCGAATTAAACAGAGGAAGGGAGTTTATTCATCATAAAAATCAATTTATGCGTAAGAAGGTTATTAATGACTCTAACTATCACACCAGGCCTCCTGAACTTGTTTGTATGACTCATACTGATGACAATTGATTCCACATATCCCTACTCCACATATCAATAAAAAAAATAAATAAATAAAAAAAAAAAAATAAATAAATAAATAAAATAAACCCACCAACATTTTTGAGCTATTACTATCATTAAAACATTTTGAACAATTTATTTAACCTAACATCACCTTTTCAGAATTGATATTTGAACATCTAAAATAATCCGAAATATTAATACCTAATATTAGAAAAATAGCAAAGAATACAAAAAAAAAACAAAAAAAAACCAAATAGTGAAAAAGAACGAATTGTTAGTCACACTATATTTGTAATAAGTATGTTAATCAATATTGAAAAAAAAATCATAAATTTAATACTAAAAAAGATGAATTGTTAGAATTAAGTCCACTTAATTGTTAACTAATTCAAGATACAACAAGTAAGAAAGCTATAGTCGAGACTGCTCGACTACGAGATCCCCTGAACCCTTGGAGCAATAGATATTTCAATACTTTTTCGCGACTTTCAGCTTACACAAGAAACACGCACACACACACACACACACACACGCACGTACGCACACACAGGTATACATACACACACACGCATACAGACACACATACTCACACACACGCATACAGACACAAACGCATACACACACACACATACACACACACATACACATACAAGCAACCACGCATAAACACGCATGGGCTGCAGTGTGCGCTTACTATGAGAACTTAATTGTTTAATAACTTTTTTTATGGACGTACGATCTTCATCAAACTTTTAGATTATGATTATAACATGAATATGCATGTAATTGCCAAAGCACAAGTTTCTAGTATTTGAAATACGCTTTTTACAAAAGTGAGGGTGAGGGGGTGAATTTAGAGGTGGGGGGTAAATTTTAACAAAAACCGAAATTGTATAAATTGCATATAAGCATACATTAAAAATTTGGAGACTCTAGCAATAAAGGTGTAGAAGATATAATTTTATAACTGGGTTTCGATAAGGTTTTTTATCGATAAAAAAAGATCGAGATGAGTTATCGATTTTTAATGATAAACTTGATATGCGCGCTGTAATTACGGACATTTAAAAAAAAATTTGAAGTCTCTAGCTCTTATATCTTCTGAAATCGACGCGTTCATACATACGGACAGACGGACAGACGGACAGACGGACAGACAGACGGACAGGGCCAAATCAACTCAGCTCGTCACCCTGATCAAGAATATATATACTTTGTGGGGTCTGCCACGCCTCCTTCTCCCTGTTACATACATTTCAAGAAAACCATTATACCCTGATTTCCCATTGAAAATGGGTTCAGGGTATAAAAAGGTTGTAGAATGGTAATACTTCAAGTGTACCGCCTGAGGACAGGCTACATTCTCGGGTTGGAGGAGTTACGTATTCATCATACTCAAACAAATTAGAGTATTTGGTATGCATACATAATTTCTCTTATAATCTCTCTTAAGCCACTCTGTAGCTTAATCTTACGACTCTCAAAGCTCGCAAGCGAAGTTACGGCAGAATCACGCCACTTAAAGCATTTACAAGAAAGGTAACTGCATGATCAGGCCACCTAGAGCTTTGTAACGGCAATGTCATCCGATGCTGGAGCTTTATAGCTGCCAACGCCGACGCATTGCATAGTAAGCTTAGAATTAGAATCAGTTGTAAATCTGCATCACGAGAATAAACTTGTTCAACTCCAATGCTATTAAAATAAAGTTATCTTTCTATTTAACTAACCGCATTGTTTAAAAATGTAATTATATATACGCGTAGGTGTATATATATAAGTTAAGACTTTCGACAATCTAAGGAGGCTGGAGAGTCCAGTCAGACATTCAAGGGGAGAACCTAACCAGTTGAACAGATTTATTTTATTTTATTTTATTTATTTATTTTCTTAAAGCTATTGACAAAAATGAGAGTCAATTTTAATTTAAAAAAGCCTATACAAAGTACACGATATAATTTCAATAGTAACACCAACCCGATGGGGGTATTTTATTTGCCAGTCCGGCCGGCTATGCCCACGTCTCACAGCCAAATATGGTCAGTGATACTATTGAAGCTATGAAAAGAAAGTGTTAGTAAGAAAACTTAAAAAAATAAAATATTAAAATGTAGGTTATTAAACAATATTTAGCATACTTAAAATAATTCTTAAAATAATAATAAAAAATAAAAAATAATAATAATAATAAAAAAAAAATAAAATAAAATAAATAAATAAATAAAAGGAGTTAAAAAAAAAACAATAATAAAAAAAAAAAAAAAAAGAATAAAATAAGAAGAGATAAAGTATAGAAAAAGAAAATGGCCGGTAATAAGAGAAGTTGCAAGAAAAGTTAATAAAAAGAATAAGAAATAATAAAAAGAAAAGAGTAATGGAAGAGCCAAAAATAGAGTATAAGAATAGAATTGAGAAATCACTAACACAACATTAGCAGCAAAAGCGTATGCCAATGCTTATGCCTGGGCATTGTGAGTGATTTCCCTAAGATAAGCTGATAGTACACTTTTTATTTTAGGAGGAGAGAGCTCTAAGGAAAAAACGTGATAATATTTATTAAAATTAACACAAAGAACATGAAACGCACTGTGCAAAGAATAATCCCTAGTGCACACAGGTAAATGAAGCGGACGATAGTGTCTAGTTGATCGGGACGGAACCAAAAAATTTAGACGACCCAACAAAGAGGACGAATTTAGTTCAGTTTATATTCGGACTAGAGAGAGTTTAGACCTATTGTTCCAAATTATATAAAATATATTATTTCATTGAACACGAAGTTGCTATATATTCACAAGAACCCTTCACAGCGTCCCCCAATCACTAGTACTCTAGTACGGGAGCGTTTAACTGGCGCCCGAGCAGAGACCCACATTCTTCACGGAAATAAAGGGAAATGGTGACGTGTCAATAATTCTATAAAAATAACTTATTAAAAAAGCAAGTACAAATAAATTGTTCCAATCAAATTGGGCAATTGTTGGCAAAATTACGAAGTACTTCTGCGATTTGCAAAGTAATGGGGTGAAAATCCTTGCCATAACATAATACAATAAATAATAACATAATTTCTAGCAAGTGTTGGTGCACTAGATAATTCTATAACATAAAAGAAATCGTGGCTAAATGGTGGTATTAACAATACCTAGGTTCAAATCCTTGCCGAGACGAGTCTTAAAACGAAAATACAAGAAATTTACAGGCATAATGGTGGTACGAGATTGATTCTCGTATCGAGGTTCAAATCCTTGCCGTAAGACAAATGTCATAAAAAAATAAACGTCACAATTTCCACCTGTGTTGAATGATGGGCTTCCGTATAAATTAAAAGAAACCTAGTGGTCAAAGTTAAGTTTAAAGCACTAACTATATAACATAATTAAAAGGCGGTTGTCAGGAAATCTCTAATCAACAAGCAAAGCATAAATATGCAAAAATAAAAACATGAATTGCAGAGACCTTCTATTCGATCGTGGAATAACCCTTACCCTAGTAGGTCTTAGAACCAAAGAGGAATACTTTGGGCTTCCCTTTCGGAAGAGAATAAGTCTGGCAACAATATATAAAAGAAAAAAGTAAAGTAAATAAATAAATGAAACGAAAGCAAGAGAGAGACCAGATGATTGTGGAAACACCCTCACCTAAGTAGGTCTTACACCAAAAAGGATCCTGAGGGCTTCCCAAGCCATATAAAATAATTAGTAATTCAATGAAATAATATAAAAGAAATAATATTCACGCCAACTATTTAAAAAAGGTGTTACGACCATGTGAGAGCATTACTAATATATTTATCTCCACAGGAAGCAATTCTACGAGACGATTATTAATATTTTCTTATCTCCACTGGAAACGGTAAATAGCAGCAGCTTGGAAACAATGAAAATCTGATTTAATGTAGAAAATTAGATCGATAACATAGTAGGCATCGAATTGAATAGTAAGTAAGTTTTCCGACATTGAAATAATTTAGTTCGGAACGTTGCAAGGGCTGAGCGCGGCAATAACTGTGTTAGCCGATCAATTTTCGAGTCTTAAGGAAGATTTGAAGCAATTGAATAGGAAAGTGGATCGTTTGGAAAAGGAGGATACTAATCAGTCTCTCATAGAGGAACAAACCTCACTGGCCCGTCCACGTTCGGAGCTTGAATTAAATGAAATTTCGTCATTGCCGGACTGTGTTAAAGTGTTGCCCACATTTGAGGGAAACCCTTCACAATATGCCTCGTGGGTAAACAGGATCGAGTCCGTACTTGAAGATTATTCTATTATCAAGGAAAGACCTCTATATCGCTCAATAATTTTACATATACGAGGAAAAGTAATTGGAATTGCCGATGTTTCACTGTAATCGTACGGTGTACAAAAAGATGATTGGCCTGAAATTAAGCGAGTTTGGCGATTGCATTATGCTGATAAAAGGGATGTTCGAACGAATACGAATTGAATCAAATCTCTTTTAACTTCCTTGACTTCCTAGCACCCATAGCACATTTAATTATATTGCAATAATCTTCTTTTAGCTTCCTTAACTTCCTTAGCACCCATAGCATCCACAGCATTTTACACGTGGTATATCCCTCCTAGTTTTGATCATTCATGGTAATAGGGATTTCCGAGATGCCAGACGAAATGAAATAAATGCGCTTACAATGTTGGATGTATTGTCATAACCACAAATGAATACTAAATGTATGGAACTATGAATGCTTTGAATTAACTTGAAGGTGGATATCGATGGCCCTCTTTATGCTAATTTATGGACTCTGGATAATAAATTTATATTGGATAATTATCATTATATTGGACAATTTATATTGGATGGATATCGTATTGGATAAATATCATTATATTGGGCAATTTATATTGGATAATTATCATTATATTGGACAATTTATATTGGATGAATATCGTTATAATGGACATATGCACCCTGATCTGCGGGACGCAGATATTTAGATGGGGAAGAGTTAAGACTTTCGACAATCTAAGGAGGCTGGAGAGTCCAGTCAGACATTCAAGGGGAGAACCTAACCAGTTGAACAGATTTAGTTCAGTTTATATTCGGACTAGAGAGAGTTTAGACCTATTGTTCCAAATTATATAAAATATATTATTTCATTGAACACGAAGTTGTTATATATTCACAAGAACCCAACACAGCGTCCCCCAATCACTAGTACTCTAGTACGGGAGCGTTTAACTTATATATACATGTACGCATATGCATATATATGTATATATATACAGATATGACAATTAATGTAAAAGGGAAAAAAAATTTACAAATGTTTATTAAGTGTGTGGCCTCGTGAGCGGATATACCCCACGGCTCAACACGACAGGATAGATTAGCGGTCACTGGGCCATAAAAACGGAGCGCACAGTGGGCCAAGGGCGAAATAAAATAGAATGAAATAAAATAAAAAAAAAAAGGGGGAAAAAATAAATAAAATAAATTAAAATACAATAAAATAAAATATAATAAAATAAAATAAAATAATAATTATAATAAAACAAAAAACAAAAAAAATATATATATATACATTGGGGAAATTTTGTTTATTTTATTCTTGGTGCGCGAGTTATGCAACCAATGCAACCAATGCAACCAAATACGCTCATGCAAATTGCACAACCAATTGCACTTGTGCATGGGAATGACAATAATGACCAACTCAGCATAATCATGCAGAAATATTTAAAAAGAGATCAGATTACAAAAGCATAAACAACGTAAGCGTCTTCGCCGCTTCCGTTGTAAATGCCCAGCTAGCAACAACAAATGTAAGCAACGTATATATAAAATAAAGCAACAACAAATGTAAGCAACGTATATATAAAATAAAGCAACATATATATATATATATAAACAGGCATTTGCATATGCCAAGAAATACTTTACAGTTAGTCTTAAGATTCATTCCGAACAGAACAGAAGTCTTTTTATCAATAAAGCAAGAATTATAATATCTAAAGATATTAAGTGTGTTTTTATTGAACTATTACTTAAAGTATATGAACATCTAAAGACAGTTTTGTTTCAGTGATTAACAGTTTTTATTGTACTTGTGTATCTCAAGATATATGAAGTATAGTGCAAAAACCATAACTGGCGCAGCCGAAACCGAACAAGTGCGTTCTATTTAACCGAAGTTAATCCGCATAAACAAAAATAAAACTATAAAAACTGCAACGTATGCATAAAAGAAAACTGTTGGCGTATAAAATCTCTAAGCAAGTGTAAGCACAATTGTGTTTAGTTAACGTTGCCGACAAATTTGTGCAGAAATAAATAAAACCGCAACAGCAAACTAATTCGTGAGTTAGCAGTTAACTCAAAAAAGTGACAATTTTATGTACCCAAGGTACTCAACGAACAAAAGCAATATCCATAAATTTGACAAAAACCGCAGAATCGAAAATACAATTATGGAAGAGGAGCTTCAAAATCTAAGAGGAGTCATACTCCAGCAAGAAGCAGCGCTAAACTCACTCAGACAACAACAACAACAACAACAACAACAACAACAACAACAACCAACCCAGTGGTTATCGAACAAAGACATCATCCAGCAATTTCGCCAACTACGACAGCTGGATGATCAACATGATGTGTTGGCCTTCATTAGATCAGTTGAATTTCTCATGACGCAGTGCCAAGGAAATGAGCTGCTAATTCAATTCGGGACCAGCATCGTCGCCAACGAGAAGGTCTCGGGAGCAGCAGCAGACTACATCAGACAGTTGGGGATGGAACCAACTTGGCAACAGATGAAGACGAAACTAATGGAGCAAATGCGTCCGAAGACGACTTACGAGGATGTGTTCGACAGATGCAGATACATTAAAGTAAGTAATTTAAGAGAGCTATTTTTAGAATTCGAAAAGGCAAAATGCGAGATAAATAAAATATACATGTTCGACGAATTAAAGCCTACAATATACGAAAACGATAAAGTAGATAGAGATTTGTTAAATATATTAATAAACAAAATAGACACCCCATTCAGAATTCATGTCGATCAAGGAATTTCTATGCATGCTCTTCAAACAAAATATTCAAACATTAAAGCACTAGATGATCCTAGGGCTATATCACAGAGATATAGAAAAACAACTAACAACGCTTACCAGAAGCAAAATAACGCTAACACTAATATTAACACAAAAACTAACACTAACATTAACACTAACACTAACACTAATACCAACACCACATACAACAGACCAAATCAAAACAGCCAGCCCCCTTATAACAACAAGAACACTGGTCAAATAAATCAACAGCCAGATAACAGAACACAACTCAACCATAATCCTAGACCAAATTATAACAGCAAAAACAATGGCTCAGGACAAACAAGAATGTCTCATATGAGCGTCGATACCCAAAGAAACGATTCCACTCCTATGGAAATCGGAACTTTGGAAGAAAATCAGGCAGAAGAAGTAAATTTTTTGATACCTTGCCTAGGGCAAACCTACCCATAATAACATGGACAATAGGAAAGGAGGAAATCAGATGCTTAGTCGACACTGGTGCAACGACAAGCATCTTAAAATCAAAAGTTCTTGAATACCAGTACCCAAAAATTGAACTCACCAGACCTTGCTCTTACAAAACCCTTAACGGTGTTAATATTGTAAAATACGCCGTAACCACACCTTTCCCCAAAGAAATTCCATACTTAGGAACACTTCAGTGGAAACTTATAGATTTCCCAAATGAAAATTTCTCAGCAATAATAGGGCAAAACTTTCTAAAAGCATTCAAAGCTCAAATAAATAATACTGAACGATACGTACAATTACTAGACAAGAAATTCTATTTTTTAGACTACGAATATCCAGAATCAATGCACAACGCTTGTGCTCTGCAACCTATAAACATAGATCATATACGAGACCGTCTCAACCTCGAACATTTAAATGACGAAGAACGCCAAGCGGTCGAAGCTCTACTTGCAGAATCCGATGATCTATTTTTTCGGGAGGGGGACGTTTTGTCAGCAACAAACCAAATCTCTCACGAAATTATTACTACAGTGGATAGGCCTTTATATTCTAAAATATATAGATATCCCCAAATCCACGAAAAAGAAATAAATAGACAGATAAAAGAAATGCTTAAGCAGAATATTATAAAAGAAAGTAACTCCCCCTATAACAGCCCCTTATGGATTGTTGAGAAAAAACTCGATAATTCAGGGTCAAAAAAGTTCAGAATTGTCATCGATTACCGCAAATTGAATGAATTTACGGTCGACGACAGATTCCCAATTCCTAATCTTAATTCTTTGCTAGATAAACTGGGTAGATCACAATATTTCACAACCCTCGACTTAGCGAAAGGCTTTCATCAAATTCTCGTTAAAGAAGAGGACAGACCAAAGACAGCATTTTCAACACCGTCAGGTCACTACGAGTTCATCAGAATGCCGTTTGGACTCAAAAATGCTCCATCAACATTCCAGAGACTTATGAACGAAGTCTTGAAAGACTATATTGGCGAAAATTGTGTCGTCTACATGGACGACATACTAATCTTTAGCACATCCCTTCAAGAACATATGACCATATTAAGAAAAATATTCAAAACTTTAAAAGATGCCAATTTAAAAATTCAAGTAGATAAATGTGACTTTCTAAAGAAAGAAACGCAATTCCTTGGTCATATCTTGACCACTCACGGCATCAAACCGAACCCAGATAAAGTAAACATTATTCAGAATTTAAAATTACCCCGAACTGCAAAGCAGATTAAGTCGTTCCTAGGAATGACAGGATTTTATAGAAAATTTGTTAAAGATTATGCAAAAATAGCATTCCCTATGTCAAGATATCTGAAGAAAAACATGACAATCAACACCGACGACCCAAGCTACATAGCAGCATTTGAAAAGTTGAAAACATTAGTTACAAATAGTCCAGTCCTACGGTACCCAAATTTTTCTAAAAAGTTCACTATCACTACAGATGCAAGCAATTTCGCGGTGGGAGCAGTCCTTTCTCAAGAAAGTCACCCAATCGCATACGCATCCCGAACATTAAATCAGCACGAATGTAACTATTCAACCATAGAAAAAGAGCTCTTAGCCATAGTGTGGGCCGTAAAATACTTTCGACCATATGTTTATGGTAGAGAATTCAACCTCGAGAGCGACCACCAACCATTAAAATGGCTAATGGCTAAATATACAGGCAAAGACATAAGCCCAAGATTACAGAGATGGCTCATCAGTCTGGGAGAGTACAACTTCCACATAGAATATATAAAAGGGAAATGTAATAACATCGCTGACTTTTGAGTAGAATTAGAGAGGACGAAATAAACCTAATGGAAGTTGAGTCCACGAACGATGAAGACAATAGATCCCTAGCAGCTCAAACGATTCATTCTAAAGAAGAGGATCAGGGTTTCGACATGTCCATACTAGAAACAGCAGTTAACAGATTCAATGTACAGCTAATTTTCACAGAAAGAAAACTCGAAACCACCGTACAGGTGTTCGACAAAAAGAGAATTTACATTAGCAAGAAAGACATAGAAGACAACCAAGCAATAAACATCCTCCGACGAGAAATAACAACAGGAAAAATAGGAGTTTATTCACACCTAAGTGACCATGAGTTCTACCAACTACAGAAAATAATAGCGAAGGAATACACTTCCAACCCAAAAGTAAAATTTGTAAAGTGCACTAGGTTCATTAGGGATATTGAGTCAGAAGATGAACTGCATACCCAAATAGCCTTATTTCATAAAAACGAGAGTGGCCATTGCGGGATAGTTGCCAC